TTTTCTAGAATGATGTCTGCAGCGCGACGCGCCGCTCACCTCGGACTTGGGCGTGGAATCGGCGCCAATCCCCCGAGGAACGAGGGGGGGCTTGAAAGCGTGCGTGCTGCGATTCTCGGCGGTGGCGTCAAACCTAGTGCACCCTTGGCGTGCTCGAGGTGTTCCCAGCTGGCGAATTCGATGTCAGACGAGCGCTCCTCGGGACGGGCCCATCGGCACGTCTTCGGTGGCACTGCTGGCTCGGATGCGGGGATGGGTGGCACTGTCCCACGAACGTTGACTTCTTGATACCGGAAGAGCTGGATTCGAGCTCTACGCGGTGCGTGCTGGCCGCGTGGACATATACATACATATATATATATATATATACGCACACAAGAACCATCGCGCGCGCTTCTCGCGCGCTCCAGTTCTAGCTAGGGTCATGAACATCGTCATCAATTGTCATCATCATCCCCGTCATCTTCATCGTCATCGTCATTGTCATGGTCACGTTCACAGCCATCATCACAAACGACCACCATTATCACCATCATCATCAGCATCGTGATCACCATCGCCATCAGCGTCATCGTAATTTTCAGCATCATCATCCGCATAATCAACATGTTGTTGGTCGTCGTCGGCGTCGTCGTCGGCATAGTCATCGTCATCATCATCAGCGTCATCGCCGTCATCATCCCCGGTCCACTGCAGTCCCCTCACCCTCCTCCTCTTCCCGTTCTCCCTCTTCCAATCATCATAGATTCATCCTTTTCCTGGTCGGCGTTTCCCTGCAAGGGATCCCTGTTCCTTCGCCTCCTCCTCCTCCTCTTCTTTCCTCCTTCTCCTCCTCCTCCCTGTCTTCCCCGCTCTTCGGTGTGTCCCTCCTTGTGTTCCTTCACCTACTTCACCTCCTTCCTCCTCTTGAGCCCTCGTCATCCAGCGCGCCCCTTCCCTTCCCTCCTCGACCTCAGCATCCCTCCCCGAGCCAGAGAATCAGAGAACAAGATAATCTTACAAGTACAATGTTCCTCCTCCTCCTCTTCCCCCTCTTCCCCCTCTTCGTTATCCTGATATTCCTCCCCCTCCTCCTACTCCTCCTCATCCACGTCCTCCTCCTGCTCCTCCTCCTCCTTCTCCTCCTCCTCCTACTCCTCCTCTCTCACCTCCTCCTCCTCCTCCTCCTCCTCCTCCTCCTCCTCCTCCTCCTCTTCCTCCTCCTCCTCGTCTCCTGCTCTTCCTCCTCCTCCTCCTCATCCTCCTCATCCTCATCCATCCTCATCCTCATCCTCATCCTCATCCTCATCCTCATCCTCATCATCATCATCATCATCAGCAGCAGCAGCAGCAGCATCATCCTCATCATCATCCTCCTCATCATCATCATCATCATCATCATCATCATCATCATCATCATCATCATCATCATCATCATCATCATCATCATCATCATCATCATCATCCTCATCCTCATCATCATCCTCATCCTCATCATCCTCATCATCCTCATCATCCTCATCCTCAAACTCATCCTCATTCTCATCCTCATCCTCATCCTCATCAGCAGCATCAGCATCAGCATCAGCATCAGCATCAGCATCAGCATCAGCATCAGCATCAGCATCAGCAGCAGCAGCAGCAGCAGCAGCAGCATCAGCATCAGCATCAGCATCAGCATCATCATTCTTCCCTCCTCCTCCTCCTGCTCCTCCTGCTCCTCCTTGTCCTCCTCCGCCTTTCATTTCTCAGCGCACCCAGTAAACGGGTGCCCAGTGGAAGCGTGCCGGGAGCCTTTTTGGACAGCATTGTGGCAGTCTCTGGAGCCTCTCCAAGCCTACCTTTGGAGTCCTTTGAGGCCTTTGTTGGCCCGTCTGAGGGCCCATTTCGGCCGTTCCGGGTCCCTCTTGGCTCGTCGTGGGGAGCTCAATCCGTCTTGAGGCCCTCCTGGGGCCCTCTCCGACCATGTCGGAATCCTCTGGTGGCCCCCTCGGGCTTCCTGGGGGCTCTCTTGGGCCGTCTTGTAGCTCTTCTGTGCCGCTTGAAGCTCTCTTCAGCCCATCTTGGAACCCTCTTTCGGGCCACTGGGGCCGTTTGGGGCCCATTTAGGTAACGTCTCGGGCCGTCGCGACCGCTGGTGGACCTGAAAAGCAAAGCTCCCAGAAATATACTTTTCCATCGGAAATGCTTGATTGTTGCCCTTGGAGGGCCTTCTCAGCGGCCTCTTGGACCGTCTTGGGTGGGTCATTTTGGGCATTTTGTGGTCCGCCTGGGAGCCCATTTCGGCTGTCCCAAGCCCCTCTTGGCATATCATGGGTAGCTGAGCCGTCTTGAGGCCCTCATGGAGCCTCTCCGACCATGTAGGGATCCTCCGGTGGCTCCCTCGGGCCCCCTGGGGACTCTCTCGGGCTGTTTTGGAGCTCTCTTGTGCTGCTCGACGCTCTCTTGAGGCTGTCTTGGAGCCCTCTTGGGGGCCTCGTGGACCGCGTGGCGCCGATTTGGGGAGCCTTTGGGGCCGACGTGGCCGCCGATGGAACATAAGAAGCGAATCTCATAGAAATGTACGTTTTTCCGTAAGGAACTCGGGGTTCCTGGGTACTCTCTTGGGCCGTGTTGGGGCTCTGTTGTGCTCCTTGAAGCTCTCGTCAGGCCGTCTGGGGGCCCTCCTGGGGGCCTCTTGGGACGTCCGGGGGTCATTTTGGGAGCCTCTGGGGCCGTCGCGGCCGCTGGCAGGACTGAAAAGCAAATATCCAAGAAAGAAGCGTTTTCCCAATAGGAAATGCTTGATTTTTGCCGTTCGAGGGCCTTCTCGGCGGCCTCTTGGACCGTTTTGAATGCTTTTGTGGCCGTCTAGGAGCAGTCTAGGGCTGTCTTCGAGCGCTCGTGGCCCGTCCAGAAGCCATCTCAGTGCGCTCTTCAGCCACCTTCCAGACAACCTGGAGCGCTTTGGGCGCCTCTTGGGCCAGCTTGGGAGCCTCTGGGGGGGTCCGGGGCCCCTTCTGAACCCTCTTGGGGCCCCCCCAGCCCCCCGGCCCCCCATGCGAACCTGAGGCCGCAGTTCTGGGCCCTCCCCCGGCCTACTACGATATACATATATATATATATATATATATATATTATATATATATATATATATATATATATATATATATATGTATACATATATATATATATACACATATAAATGTGTATATATATATAAAAGCCTACAATTATACCTTACCACCTACCTACCTACCTACCTACCTACCTACCTACCTACCTACCTACCTACCTACCTACCTACCTACCTACATTCACACACACACACACACATATATATATATATATATATATATATGTCGGCGGTGCCCGGTGCGGAGCGAAAACCCCCCCCCCCGGGGGTTTCGAGCTGGCGCCATTCCCGGTGCGAGCCTGCACGAACCCCCCCGGTAAACACGACCTCCTCTGGTAGGCTGCACGACCCCCCCGGTAAGGACGCAACCCCTCCGTAAGCGGCGCGCTCCCAGCACGCGCGAAACCCAGCCCCGACGCGCGAATCTTACCAGGACGGGCTGGAACACGGCGGCGGCATTGCATCCCAGGGCCGTGCCGGAACACGGCGGCACTGTTCTTCTCTACGCGGCCGTGCCGTCGACCCCCCACAGCGGCTCTCGGGAGTTGCGCCGCAGCCTCTCGTATTGTGGCCATGAGCCACAATACGAGAGGCTGCGGCGGAACAAAGGCGAGCAGACGCGAATAGAGAACACAAGGCGAGCACACGCCACACTTCGACAGGGAGCCACCCTTCCCAACCGCCCCCCTGCCCCCCCCCCAACCCACCCCCCACTCCCACCCCCCCACTCCCACAGGGGGGGGGGGGAGCCCAGGTAGACGCAGTGCGGCCTGCACGAACCCCCCCGGTAAAGCGGCAAGGGGGGGGTGTTCTAAGCCGCTGGCGGCACCCGGTGCGGGCTGCACGAAACCCCCCGGTAGTGCACGAACCCCCCCGGTAGTGCTGGGGGGGGGGCTTCGTGCCACGGCGCACCGCCGACATATATATTTATATATATACATACATACATACATGCATACACATATACATACACACATACATACATACGTACATAAATACATACATGCATGCATGCATGCATGCATGCATACATACATACATACATACACACATACATACCTACATACATAGATGCATGCATGTATACATGCATGCATGCATGCATACATACATGCATACATACTTACACAATTGCATACGTACATACATATACATCCATGCATCCATGCATCCATGCATCCATGCATACATGCATACATGCATACATGCATACATGCATACATGCATACATGCATACATGCATACATGCATACATACATACATACATATACACACATACATACATACATACGTACGTACATACAAACATACACACGTACATATAATCGTACATACATACATACATACATACATACATACATACATACATACATACATACTTACATACATACATACATACATACATACATACATACATACATACATACATACGTGTATATACATATAGATGTGTGTATGTGTGTACGTGTGAGTGTGTATGTGTGTGTGCGTGCGTGCGTGTGCGTGTGTGGGCTGTCAATCTTCTGTGGGGGCGTAATAGGAACGCCAGAATCCATGACTCGCCCCACACGAGCAAAACGCAAAGCAGGCAGCGTGGTTGCTGTGCCGCAAACAGGCCACTTGGAGGCGGAGGAAGTCGACGACACCAACGACGACGAAGACGGAGGGAGCGAGGACAAAGGACGAGAGATCAAGCATTGAAACTCACCCCAATAGCGCCGCTTACATGGCCCCCGCGCTGCCCTAAGGGGAACAACCGCGTTGCACGGAGTCGAAGCACCACCAACGAGTCCCCTGGCACAAATTCCACGGAGAAGAGCGAACGCATCCGAACGAAACAATCCAAGCAGAAATCGAGCGAATCGATGGCCAATTGCGGGAGGAAGGGAGAAGAGGAAGAAAAGGAGGAAGGACGAACGCCGTGTACCAAAACAGGGTCTGGTATGCAATGCGGTGAATGACCACGAAACCTACGAAGACATGGTGAGGCTGTTCGAATGCACGCGAGGCGCACAGAAACTCGCCGCGTGGACAGAGAGTTAACGGCCGCATGCGGGACGGAGGCTTGCTTTCGAGCTCCAGAGTGCGCCTCTGACTAACGGCGGAACGCTCGGTGCAACGAGCCTCTAGCGCTCAGAAGAGCGGGCCGACAGTCTTGTCAACAGAGCGGCCCAGTCACGCAACTGCCCTTGCCAGCCCATCGCTTGAGTTCCTTAGTGAAGGATTAAATGTTCTCTTCGAAAGCGGTCACGACCGCCTCGGACGCGGTCGAGCTGGTGGCGGCCGTCCTGCCGCATTCGCGAAGTGGTGGTGGATGTTCCAGCACGCGACCAGATCCGTTTGGCCAAGGGGATATTAACGCGATCAATTTCGCTCAGTTCTGATCGGATTCCGTTGTATGCACTTGTCATCGCACATCAGACCAAAGGTGCCGACGACGCACAACTCGGTGGCCGATCGGCAGCGCCAGTGGCGCGCGCAGAGGAGGAATACCTAACACGACGCAGGAGCTTGCAAGCATAAAAAGCAAAAGATCGGACCAACAGGCCTTTGACAAGCAACTGTCGAGCTGGATGCGAGGTCGCCACGCGTCCCATCGACGTCTTGAGCAAATATGGCAAATTACAGGGGAGGGAAAAAAGGGGGAAGAGAAGTCTTGATATGAGGACGGGGAGGGAGGACGGGGAGCAGCAGCAGCAGGAGCAGCATGAGGAGGTGAGAAGGGCCCAAGGCGGAAACACACCAAAGGCAGGTACCTCGCCTAAGACTTCAATGAACTCTGCCAGGGTCAATGAAATACGCGCCGACCTCCGAGGGTCTGAGGAGCAATGAGCGGAAGGCATTGTGCCCCAGAGCCACTAACCCCGTGATGTGGCAAGACTGCTGGCCCCGAACTAATGTACACACACGTTACTGGGCCAGGTCTCAGTCCTGCCGGGGGCGACACTATCTGATGCCGAATCTAGGCACACAAAAACCATTCAGGATCACTGCCGTCCCCCTCGAGGTTAACGTCAGTGCAGCCGGCTCCTACGGCAGCACGCCCAGACTCCTCGAAACAGCCGAAGATAGCCCAACCTGCAGCGACGCCAGCGGAGGCACGAGCCACGTTAGCTCCGCTGGAAGCGCGGCCTCAAGGGCCCCAGACTCGGCGGCGCCGAGCACCCCATTGAAAATCACGAATACCACAAACAACTGGCCCCAATTCAAATTCTCCAGCGCCCCAATCGGGAAGGGCTTCAAGCTCTTCCGGAGGACCAGCGCCGTCGTCCTTCGGGTCGCGATACGCCCCTCTCGGAGGTCGAAGTAAGACGTTGGTTCCTGTGGCCTGATCCCACTCAGTCGATATCCCAGCCTGTCGTATACGCCTATGGCCTGGAAGTTTGTTGCTTCCACCAGTAGCCCCACCTCGTCGTAGCCCCAACCGATCACAACGCCCTCCAACTCAGAGACTAATGCCTTTGCAATGCCCCGACCACGAAACTCCGACGAGACGGCAAGATCGGCCACGATGGGCATCAGGTAGGTCAACTCGTCACTATCCACCCCCCCAGTATCAAAGTCCTCAGGCACCACATCCCCCGTGATTCTCAACATACGCTTCACCTCGCAGCCGATGCAGCCGACGATGCTACCCCCGCCGCCAAATGCTGACGCCCAGCCCCCCACACCGCCTGCACCCTGAGCAGCACCTGCATCCACCTTCGCCACCAACATCGTCCGCTCTGGTTTCCGCGAGGACAAGTAGCAATCCGCATACGCTCTGACCTCGTTGTCGGCCAGGCGGCTATATACGCTGGCGTCGAAGTCTTGGCTGTCTAACCAGCCCTCCGTCCACCTCAAAGTCCGCACGGCCATCTCCGCCGCTGGTCGCAGGTCGGCACCCGTCGCTACCTCCACCCTGATAAGGCAATGTCAAGGAGGTCACCACTAGCGGGGTCACTAACTCAAGCAGGAGGATTCCCCAGGACCCATGTCCCCCGTTCAAAACCCCCAAAATCGTCCAAACAGCTCCTGGACCCTCTTGAAGGGGCGGGCGGAACCGCCCCAAACAAATCCTGTCTTGATTGTGTTCCCTGGCCGACCGAAGCCCCGATCCATTCCCTGGGGCCGATTTTTGATCCTGAATCGTTTGACAAGAGGCCCAGAATGGCGCACAGAACCTCGTGCGGACTTGTTCGATACGCTAAAAAAGTCTGGGCCACTTTGGTGACGACTCCCCTTCAGGGCATCGCCGGACCTGCAGCCTGGCACCCCCGTGGCGCGCCGCGTGGCCCGCGAGCCCCGCGCGGCACGGCGCGAAGTGCGGCGCGGCCCTCTCCCGGGCCAGCGCGCGGCTGCCGCCAGGGCCGCCGCCAGGCCGGCGCGGGTCGGTCCAGCCCACGGCGCGCGGCCTGAGGGCCCCGAACCTCGGACTGCGAGAGGTCCGAGAAGAAAGAGGCCCCACACACTGTACACTGCATCTCTCCGCTCCGCCCCTGGTCCCATCGCCGACGTTGCTCATTCGATGCTGCACCGTAAGCAATTTTGCTCGAAGAACCTGCAGGGGGCGAAACGCGTAGCCTCCTTTTCTTGTCGCTTGAGACTCGATCCGAAACAGGTGTTCGGAAGCTTTTCTTCATTTCTCGACCTTTGGGGCGCTCTTCGTCGCCACGGCTGCACCTGCCTGGAAATGAAAGCCCGCGCGCACTTCAGGATGCGTCAAGCGGAGGAGAACACCGCGCCTCGAAAAAGTCAGGCCGGCTGGTTGGTCGCCGTTCCTGGCCCCAGGATGCCAGTTTGGGGGTCTCGGGCCGTCAGAAAACGGCGGGGGGTGAGAAACTGGCCATGGGGAAAGGGTCGAGAGGTCAGGGGGGCCCCCACGCACAGAAAACTCGAAGCGCTGGATGTCTGGGCTCCAATCTTATCGAGGCCGTCCACGGCGGCAACACAACCGAAAACCGACCGAACCGACAGCGAAATCGAAACCGACAGGCTGCAATCAGACTAGGCGCAGCAATGTAGTAACGACACAGCACTCGATCGAACCGAACCGACCCAATGCAACGGACTGCAACGCAGAAGCGACCGAAAAACGGACACGCTTGCTTGTCCTCCCCCTTGCTCCCTACCACGTCTGAGCGGCGGGGTTCTAGATATCTTGTGGCCTGTCCCGTTCTTCCTACGTTCCTCTACTCCACCTTCTCGTCATCTTCATGAACAGCTTACACACCGCATGCGACACAGACATGCATTAATGCCAGACGTGCGTGCGAAGAGGGCTTCAAGAGAGGTACCATAATAGGCGTTAGCAACATCATCCCTGTGGCTCTCTCGCCTTAGCCGTGTGGGCGGTTTCCTGCGTCACCAGCGGCTGCCTACATCACGGCCACATGTTCAGCGCAGTCTCCCCCCTCATTGCTGTCATGAGAGGGAACAGGAGGGGGGGAGGGGTGCAATACAACGATGGACGTAGATCTCCCCCGCGCGACACGAAAGACAACGGTGGCCCGCTGATTGGGCAGCGGTAGCGGTAACCTCCTCCTCCTCCTCCGCCTCCTCAAACTTTTTGCAGTACGACTCAAGGCCACGATATGTCAGAGGTTCGGCGCCCCACGCATTAGGACGTGAGGCTGTGGCTAGACCTTACCAAGCGCCTGAACCAAAAAACTACGGTGAAACAACATTCAGTCATATTTGTATCATGTGTCTCCCCCTGCTGCCTGTACGTGCGATGCCTACGAAATAAGAGCATTGGCGAATGTCGTATCCTGCCTTTCTCCGCGGATCTGCTCGTGCGGGCGCTCAGCAAGGAAAAGAGAAGTCCACCTTGGACCCCAACCTACCTGCCCGGGAACGCTTAAAAGCGACTGCAAGCTCCAGCCCCCTCGTCGGAAGCTGACGCCGACGTCGAAGTCGGCTCGGTTACTACACATGTTGCACAAAATCTTCGAATCAACTGAACCCACGAAACTCGACACCGCACTCCTGAGGCAAGATTTCAGGAGAGGATGAAAAGACGTGGTGAGCCATACGGCATCAGCCGACTCACCCCCAACGCGCCTGGAAGGGGGGAGTGGGGCTGTGACTTTCACGCACTCCAACGCATTGATTAGATATTGCGAAGAACCCTGGAAGCGAAAGCGCTCAATGATGTGGGCGGCGACCTGCGCCCGGTCGTCGCAGTGCGTGCACAATTTCAGCTGGGACTTGAGAGCCCCACTGGTCAAAGTTTCGTGCAGGATTTGTGGCTGGAAGTGTGGTCAACTACGCACATCCCGAGACTTCGGGACTACACAAATCTGACCAGACAGTTTGAAAACACGCAGGCTGAGGACAACCACTTCGAGGGCCGAAATGCTTTCAAGAACTATGTCGAAAATGCACCGCACCCGAGTCTGAACACCCTTAAAAAGTAGTGGGCGACAAAGTGATTTTCAGCACCAGTGCGCCGGGCTACTGAAAAGATGTCGTCTTTAAACCAACAATAGAATACTGAATGATTCTGAATGCGGCTTCCAAGACCACGCTCCTGGAGGTCCACGTTTTTCGACCAGCACATGAAACGCAGCCTCGGCCACAGGGCCTGAATGGGGAAGGCCCATTCCCGAGCACTTTCGCACATGCCACGCGCGGTCGAGGGCGCACTCACACGTGACGGATTGGCATTGGTTCTCCAGAACCCACATGAGCACTTCATATAGTTCTCGGCGCGGCCGAGGCGGGGGGATTTGCGCCGCCGCGCCAGCCAACGACCCGAGATCCCCAGACATGAAACACAAACTTGACATCTAAACGAAGACATCTGTCATCGGACCCAACGGCTTCGAGACGATTTTTTGTGCGAGCTCTCTCCACGAACTCCTGGGCCGACTTCAGCATACGCCCCGCCGGCGCCGCGTCCAGGGCGGCCTGTAATTGGGCAGCCACCCAAAAACGAGAGACCCCTTTGCTTGTTCCTGGGAGCCGTGTGCAGATTTCCGAAACGTGACTTCTCCATTGGCTTTATGGGTTCTGCATGTGAGTTTCGATCTGTTGGTCCATACCCCCCGCCAGCGCGGAGGGACCTATTGAGGCACCTCTGGGGATCTGCGTCGCCTTCCAGGTCCGCAACTTTCTTAACAAGGCGAGCGTACGCCTGCCGAAAGGAAGACCTTCAAGACTGCGCGGTACCTTCCAGTAGTCAGGGCCATTCAGGATTTCAAGACAAGCACTAGCGCACTGGTCCTTCATGAGTACTGTGAACTCTGGCTCCTTGTCATTGGGGCCCCCACCAATTTCATACTCAGCAGAAGGCTGCGAGCTACTACCCGCGACACAGGGTACACGTTGGAGAAAAACCTGCCCCGAACGTGCTGTGAACGCACTCTTTTGACAGCGTCCACCACGTGGAGTCGGAAACGGGACAGCAGAGCACCGAGATTTGGGTCTACCGGCAGCGCGGGGGACCTTGCGCTCACAAACGGTATTCTGCAATTTTGAATGAATTCTGTCTTTGCCAAGAACCCGACGCCACTTCACTTTACTCTCGAACTTCTTCAGGTCACTAAATAAATTCGCTACGCAAAAATAATCTGCGATTATGAAAACAAGCTTCCGGTTGAATCTCCCTAAGAGCCAGCGGAAGGGCCAAGGCAGCCCGCAAGATCATATAATTAAACGACTCCTCAAATCGTACAGGTACACATGTGATGTGACAGCACTGGAATTAACCAACAAGCTTTTCCCAATGGGTCACTGGCGAACTGCGCATCAATGCTTCGAGTCCAGCAGCATCCTTATCAGCTCTGTCAGCCCTTGGCATTTCTCCAAAGATGCCTTCTCATGTACTTCTTAGCCATGCGGCCCCGCGCGCCTTCCACCAGCCACCTGCTTTGTTTGGTTTATCCCATGCTCTTTGTTTCAATTCCCCCCCCCTCCAGGCGGGGGCGAGCCGCTTTCCTGGCGGCGTCGAGTATGGCGTGGCCATCCTTTCAGTATGCTACAAGTCCTTTGATGACATTGGCACATCTTTAACTCTATTGATAGGTGGTCCTTCATCACCTTGAAGCCTCTTGCTCAGGTTTATCCTCGGCGAAAGCTCAGTAGGGGATGCATCTCTCCGCGCCATGGGCGCGGCATGGATGTCCGTTGAGCTTTGGTTGACAATATGGGATGCGAGAGGGCCCGGCCGGCCGGGAGGGCGCGCGCGCGCGGCGGGCGGGGCGCTGTATTTTTCCTGCTAGAGCCAACGCGCGCAGCTACGGAAGCGTTGTTGCGGGGGCTAAGCGGGCCTGGGGGGTCGCCTAAATCGACGCCCCCCGCGGCCGGCCTGGAGCGCCCCACGCGCGCGGGCGGGCGTTCCCGTTTTAAGTAACGCCCCAAATCGTTCACAAAAGCGTCGGAGGCTACGACGCCCAGCAGTCTGGCCTCAGATTGGCTCGCCGCGCGCAGGTGCGTCGCACCCTTGTCTCGCGGCGGCCCAACCGCCCCAAACGGACGCCGTCCAGCCGCAATCGTTGAACTCGATGGGGGGCCCAGCGACATCGTCGCAGGCCCCCTCCTCGCTTTCTTCTTCGCACCCTCGCCAGCGGTGGCGGGCGCCCCAACTGTCGTTGTTCCAGCCATCCGAGCTCCGCGTCCATGATGACCACCAGTCATTGGCGCTGTCCTGCCATAGGGTGGAAGTATTCGTAGTCTGCTACTCCGCGGCGTCGCGCGCGCGCCAAGTCTGGCGCCGCGGCGCCCCGCGGTGCCGCGGGGCATGTAGACGAAAGTCTCGAGCGGCTGGAGGGCGGAGCGTCGGCGCGCATCCAGAAGAGGCCGCGCCCGAGCACTGCGGAGTGCGCCGCTGCGTCGGGTTCTCACCGCGGCGCCGCCGAGACTCCTGTTGATCATCTGGCGCTCGGCTGCCGGCCCCCTTCGTTCCTGCGCCACTGCTCACGCTGTCCTTCCACTTGCCCGCGCCGTCGCCCCCCCTTATTGCTGCCTTTGGACGGCCCTCAGGCTGCGCGGAATGAGGCCGCTTTGCGCCCATCGCAGAAGGCCCCCGCATGGGTGCGCCGCCGACATAATCAGCTGGCGCACCCGAGTACGCAGGCCTTGCCGTGGGCGGAGGGGGCCGGGGAAACTCGGCCAAAGGTCAGCATTCCTCAATTGCCGCCGCCGTGGCAGCCCTGAGGCTGGCGGGCGGCTCGATGGCACTTGCACGTGGGGCCGTTGCACACCGCGCGGACCAACCGCATCCGCGCGCTTCTCGGTCACGATCTTCCGGGCTCGTGCAATCCCAGTCGAAAGAGGTTCCGTATATAATATTCCTCTACTGCCATCGCCCGCCTGCTGATCTATGGCCACCATTCTTTTTGAGGAACCGCCGGATTTGTGCCTGTCGCTGGCGTGCGGGTGCGTTCGTTCTGGAACCTGATGTACCTCCGGGCCAGGTCCCTCGTCTTCTCGACTTTGTGGGGATGCTGCGGCGGCGGCAACTTATCTTCTGAACATGTGGGCAACCGCGCGAAGACCGCCATGATGTTGCTGTGGTGTGCGGTCTTGCCGTGGAGAGCGTTCTCCCGACGTTTGATAATCGCGCTCTCAATGGTCTCGCACCATTTCTCATGCGTATTACGCTGGACATGATCAGCGTCTGCCCCAGTCCATCTCTTCGGCCCGAGGTCGCGGACATCGTCCGGGCGAACCCTC